CCCAGAGTCCCCTATTGTGGGGGAGATGGGCAGGGGAGAAATCCAACAAATAAATAAATAATTTATTCTTTTTTCACCTGAGTGGTATCTTGATTATTCTTCCCCCACTCCATTCCACAGTATTGATAGCTAACTGAAAAATCTTTCTGGGTCTTTGGATTAGGACTGAACTTGCTGATTGAATTATTGTAGATTAAACAAAAAAACATAGAAACAGAACTTTTTAATTGTCTATATTTTATTGTTACCTGAGCTATAAGTGTGAAAATTACTTCTGCCTGTTCAGAAATGTGGAAGTTCGTTGTCCCTAAGAATAAAGAAATCTCAGTTTGTGGTTTATTTTTGGTGGGCTTTTCCTCCCTGGGCTGTTATTCCCAAGTACTTGAGGAGGAACAGGATGAGGAAGATTACCTTCCACCAACAGAACTAAAGATAGAGGGGAAAAACCTGCGTCTCTTCCTTCTCTGATGCATATTTGTTAAATCCCTTCCAGATTTGCTTGTTAAATAATAGAGAGGCAATAGAACGCTTAATAAAAAAAGCCAGGGGCTTTACTGCATAGTCCCATTTCTGTTCTAATATGATCCTCTTTGACTGCTGTCGGTTACTTATATAAATGATTAAAGAAAGCGTAAACTGATATTAGCCAAAGGTATATTTACAAGTAGTTCTAAATATGATCTTCGAATTTCCTGCAGTTAAGGTGGATGGAAAGCCATTTTTAGCAACATGTGGGTTCAATTTAAAAATTTCTACAATGCATTAACCATAGTCAGAAGTGATACATTCCAGACTAAAAGTGTTGCTGGCATTGCTCACCTAAATAAGATCTAATTTGACCTGTGACCTTTACTGTATTTTGAAAGTATTAACCAGTTATTTTCTTTAACAAAAAAGATGGCTAAAATGGACCTCACAAGTCACATAAATGAATGAATACACTATGGAGCACTACTGTTTTCATTGAAAAAAAGAGATTAACTCTACTTCTTTTCATACTGCTTACATAACCTTATGTTATAAATGCTACTATCATATTTTTTAAAAAGCCAACACTGATAACTTTAATAATTGGTTTATTCCTGCTCCTTCTGTTTCTCTAACCCTTATAAGTTGTTTCCCCAAAATATTATTATTATAATATATTTATTTCATAGGAAATTGGATTCATGTATCATTACTTACAACAATGTGTTCTTCGATTAGAGTTTCAAAGCAGCTCTTTGATATCCTTGGGTTTTGGGTGAGAGTGACTAGGATAGGGGTTTGTGTTTGTTTTTATTGGGGAGAAGTAGTAGTTTTCATTATCTTGCTAATTTGGCCATCTTGAAACCTTCCTTGCAGGTGAGACTTTGTTATAAACTAAATGTGTTTCTGCCGCTGCAGTTTGGCATACAGTACTTGACAGCTGTTGCATAAGAAGGTGTGTATGTTAATGACTTGTTTTAGGACTTCCGGTCAGTGAAGGAACACCAATCTCTTTCTCTTTCCCCACCAGGGAGTGCCTGGGCGCACGGGATCCCTATTGTGGCTGGGATAAGAAGCAAAAGCGATGCACAACCATTGAGGACAGCTCCAATATGAGCCTCTGGACTCAAAATATTACTGAGTGTCCTGTAAGTGAAAACCTAAAATCAGGAATATAAGAATGTATGACCCATTTTGCTTTGGACCAGTCTTCATGAATTTGCTGCAACTTTGCTGCATCCATGACCTGGGGGTTAGGTCAGGGTTCCTCAACCTTGGCAACGTGAAGACGGGTTCACTTCAACTCCCAGAAGTTGAAGTCCACCCATCTCCACGTTGCCAAGATTGAGGAACTCTGGGTTAGGTGACTGCTAGTACTCCAATATTTTCCATTCATCTGCATGTGGGACTGATGTGGGAAAACCTAAGTGGATGCCTCCCATTTGGGACATTCTTTTTTTGAACTATTACCATCTGGCAGACGGCACAGGATAATAAAAACAAGGACAAATAGGCTGAAGAATAGCTTCTATCTCAGAGCTGCAACTATATTGAGCTCTACTGTATAGTG